ATTTTATTAAGCCAGCTGGCTCAGAGGAGATAGCTTTCCCAGATTCTGAGCGCTGAATGGAGGGCAATACGGGTTTTATGGGATCAGAGTTGAGTAGGGGCTAGGGTGCTGACCTGTTTGAGGACAGGAGGGAAGCCAGGGGGATTGGTCACATTCGGTAACCTGATTAACATTCTAGCTTGTCTCCTGGGTGGGGAAGATTGGTCACATTCAGTAACTTGATTAGCATTCTAGCTTGTCTCTTAAGCAGGGAAGAAGCAGTTAATGTTTCTACCTTTTCCTATTCAATATGAAGTGAGGGGAGACACACACCCAGACTTGTAGATAGTATCCATTTGACCTAGCCTCGATCTTCGATGCCTTGATAATCAGAACTCAACTAGAGGAAGATAAAGAAGAAAAAAAAAAAAGAACATTTTTTGATAAAGGAAATGAGGATAAATTGCTACAATTTGATGAACTTGACCTATACTCATGAAGGTTTGTTGTTGTTGTTAAGTGCCGTTGAGTCAATTCCGACCCATAGCGTCCCTGTATAGGGTTTCCAAGGAGCAGCTGGTGAGCTTGAACCACTGAGCTTATAGTTCAAATGACCGCAGTCTGACGCATTAGCCCACAGCGCCACATCAGGACTCCATACTCATGGAGGTAGTAGCTCAAAATACCAATAGAGAGGGAAGGAGTCTTCATATCAAGTATCAGTGCTATCCCCTCTGTATTCAGGGTAGATAGGGACAGGCAACTTAGACATTGGATACCTAAAATGAGGGAGTGATAAAGGCTCTAAGTGACTGGCTTAAAAGGTTTCAAGAGAGAGTTTAGTGTAAGAGCGTGTGGGGGAAGATAGAATCCCCACTGAATAGTTTTCATCTTGTCTAGATGGGTCTGGTGAAAAGAGATGGGGATAAGAGTCTTATGATTCAATAATGAGTAATTGTTATCATGACTAATTGCAACTATCACAATTGTAAAGGTAGAAGTTTTGTAACAAAAACAGGGGAGTAGTTAATCTTACAGTCCAGAAACAGAGGACCCTAGGACCATCAAGTGAGAAGAGCACAAGCAGAGTGCAGGACCTTATCCAGAGAAGCAGCGACACCAGAGATGGAGGCCGAGATGGGGGCATGGAGAGAGGGAGCAGCTGAGGACTCCAGATTCATGAAAAGAGAGGGACTGAGAGCTGGACGCCAGGAGGCAGACTTGCAGAATGTGCCCTTTGGTGGTGTAAATTGTCACATATGCCTGAGTGTTTAAAAAAAAAAAGAAAAACACAACTAAAATGAATCGAGAGAAATACTATTAACTGATGGTACATGGAGGAGATTATAATCATTGTAATGAAACAAAGTATATGATTTATTGAATGTAAAACTGATGATCTGCCCTGTAACTTTCAATCAATTCATAATAAAAACTTTTAAAAAGAATCAATACCAGAAGAAAAATTATATGTGAGTAGAAAGTTAAGATGGGAGAAAAGGAGACTGCATCTTGAGTGTAGCAGTTGGGACAGAGACTAGGGATACAGAGGAACACAGCACTTAAGGTGGAGTCCAGAGAGGAGTGATATGCTGTGGCTGGGGTCTTAGGCTATTCCTTTATCCATTCAGTCCTGTCAAAAGCCAAAATGCTTAGATGGTGGTTATTTGTGGTAGAGTCAGTTCCAACTTACAGCGACCCTGTATAGGGTTTCTGAGGCCCTAAATCTTTACAAGGAGCAGAAAACCTCATCTTTCTCCTGTGGAACAGCTGGTAGTTTCGAACTGCTGACCTTGAGATTAGCAACCTGACTTGTAACCACTATGCTACCAGAACTCCTTAAATGCTCAGAGAAACACCAAAATTTAATGGTAACTGAATATATATATATATATATTATAGCAGATTATAGCAGATATGATGTGAATCCAGCAGTGTCAATTCAAACTTATCCCTGGGATGGTGCTCTAAAATATGGACAGTAGAAAAATAGGTTATTGTCCTGTTAATTTGAAGAAGATAGCATCAGAACCCAAGCAGGGGTCCATACATTTGGAGAAACAGTCTTTAAGGACATGCTGTACATTTTCCAGTCATACCCTGAGGTTTCTGCTCCTGAAACTGAATACAGATAATTGTCTAAAAGAGCCCAATGCCTAAGGCAAAACCATCTCTGCTAAGCTGCTTACTAAACTTTTGCTTAACTTAAAGGTGCTCAAGTCCCAAAGTGGTGGTGGTTATGTGCTGTGGAGTCGGTTCTGATCCCTAGCAGCCCTGTACAGGGTTTCCGAGGCTGTAAGTCTTTACAGGAGCAGAAAGCCTCATCTTTCTCCCGCGGAACAGCTGGTAGTTTCGAAACGCTGACCTTAAGGTATCCACTATGCTATCAGAGAGCTCAAGTCCCAAAGTACCTAAAGGTTGACCTGGGTTGTTGTTATTATTAAGTGTTGTCAAGTCAGTTAGAACTCATAGCAACCCTGTCTATGGTTTCAGAGGAGTGGCTGGTGTATTTGAATCACTGACTTTCCAGCTCAAACTGACCTTACAGTCCAGTACATTATTCTGCTGCGACACACCAGGACTCCGTTGCCTGGGTTGATTACTCCTGTTCTATGAACCGAGATATGGAGAATCAAAATGGCTTTGTCACCCTACACCCAATCCAAAGAGTCATCCTCTGCAGGGCTGAAGAAACTCAACTACTATGCCTTAGGCAGATTCTCCTCCTTCCCTTGGGCTATACCTAGAAATCTTGCCAATCATTTGGGGCATCAAGTGCAAGATGGTCATATCAAAACTGACTCTGGTCCCTGCCAGCTTAATCAGTGTGCCCAGGTCCCTAAGATAGCCGAACCTCTGGGGTCTGAGAAGCAGTCAAGGGTGGTTAGGAGTCAAGGACCCAGGTTCCAGTTCTGGTTTTGCCACTCCACTACTTTATAACCTGTTGCCCTATAGCCGCCTTGTGACTGAAGGAACCTCGTTCCAGGTTGGAGGGATGCCCTGGAAGCAGATCACTTGGAACCTTGCACAACTACTTAACCCTTGGGTCTCGGTTACTTCTTTGGAGCCCTTGTGTGGCGCTGTGGGTTAATGCGTTGGGCTGCAAAGTTGGTTTGAACCGCAAGGTCGGTGGTTAAAGCTCACCAGTCTCTCCTTGGAAAACTTATACAAGGTCGCTATGGGTCGGAATCAGCTTGACGGCACGTAACAACAATAACATGAGTCAGAACCGACTGGAAGGCACTTACCAAGTTACTTCTTTGAGGTAATGTTATATAGCCCGTTGGAGCACAACAAGTGCTCAGCAAATAAATGTTAGGCAATATGATATCATCGTCCCAGACACAGCCTTGGCAACCCACACAGCACCTTGCAAATGGAGCAGGTGGGTGGGGACCAGAAAGCCCGCCGGCTCCCTCCAACTCTCGGGTGGCCAGTTCAAATAGTGGTGGTGCATTGTGGGGCTTGTAGTGTGGGTGTTGGGGGTGGGCAGGTGGGCGAGGCCGCGGCTGTCGCAGCGGGGCCATCTTCCGCTGGCGGGCTTGGCCTGCGCTGTCGACCCCCTTCGCCTGGCCCCATGGCGCCGCGGCCGCTGGGGCCCCTGGTTCTGGCGCTGGGTGGCGCCGCGGCCGTGCTTGGCTCGGTGCTCTTTATCCTCTGGAAGGCCTACTTCGGCCGCGGCCCGGAGCGGCGCTGGGACGGGAGCGAGGCCTGGTGGGGCGTGGAGCCACCTTGCCTTCCCGAGTGGGACGTGAGTACGGGGCTGGGGGTCGTTGAAGGGGCAGGTGGGCCGGGGTCTGCGCTTCCGCACAGGGCCGAGGTGGGTGGCCCTGTCCTGGCGAAGGCGGGGGCGCCCGGTTTGGAAACTTCCAAAGAAATTCATGCCAAGACTTATCATAGTGAAGCTTCTAAATGCTAAAGACACAGAAAAATATTGAAGTCAGCCAGTAAATGCTTGTCCATAAACCCAAACTAAACCCAGTGCCATTGATTGGGGTGGGGGTAGAATGATAATGGATTTCTCATCAGAAACCAAAACCTAGCTTTGCTGCCCGAGGTCACAGGCTCGGGATGGGCGGGCGGGTAGTCGTTAAGTCTGGGTACCATGAAGTGAGTGAGCGTGTTTGCATGTGTCTGCCCGGCCGTGAGATGCCGCGGAGCTCTGGATGTCCTGCCAGCCCGGGGTCTTCAGGTCGCTGTGAGCTGGGCCGCCAGGCGCCTGCGCAGTGCACGCAGCCATTCGGCCCAGTGGATGCTGAGAGGTATCCCCACCTGCTTCTGGAGATCGCGGCTGAGTTGCGAGTCCCAACGATCCTAGGCTGTCTTGAGGAAGCTGAAGCTGTGGGAAGGGAAGGAATTTGCCCTGGGTCACTGGGGAAAACTGAAAGAGTGGATGGAGTTTGAAATTCAAGACTCCAAAGGCAGTGATCATTTCACACCACCAGGTGTGCCCCTTAATGGGTGGAGGGCAAGCTGGGTGCACTTAGGTACCTTCAGTCTTCCTTTGGGAAAGGCCAGCGGGAGGTTGCCTGTCGCAGCCTGACCTCTGCCCTGCAGCCCGAGGACGAGGAGGACGAGGAGCCGGTCTTGGAGGAGCTGGAGCAGCGCGAGGTGCTGGTGCTGGGGTTGGACGGCTCTGGGAAGAGCACATTCCTGCGCGTGCTGTCAGGAAAGCCGCCGCTGGACAGCCACGTCCCCACCTGGGGCTTCAACTCCGTGCGACTGCCCACCAAGGACTTCGAGGTGGACCTGCTAGAGAGTAAGCAGATTCCCACCCCTTCCCTCATGCTGGTCCTAGACCTGGGCTTTCTGCCTTGGGATGACTCTAAAATGTAGATCTAAGCAGGACTGACTCCTGAGTGAGAAACCCTGTGTATAGCATAGGGTCCAAGTGCTGTGCATTTACGTATACTAAGGTCCTTGGCATGATCCTGCCTCTCGAGCTTGGTGGCCATTCCCAATCCCTGCTGAAACCTTGAGTCAAACACTTGACAGGCAATGAAATCCTCACAACCACCAACCACATAAAACGACAAGTGGGGGCTTCAAAAATCACGGTTCTGTAGGGTAATCATTGGACTGCTAACCACAAAGACAGCAGTTTGAGCACACCAACCAATCCGTGGGAGAAAGATGAGACTTACAGATTTTTAACCTTGTAAACCATATACAGGGTTGCTATGAAGCAGAACTTAACCACCACCATTCCTGGTCAAGTTAGGGGCTTCTTTGCTGAACCCCATGCCTCCTCATGCTGCAGTATTTGACACATGCCAGCTGATTAAGGCAGTGACACCTACAGTGTCAGGTCCCCTAGGACCCAGGCACAGGTACTTGTGTGGGCTTGTGCGTAATCAGGGAGGGTCTGAACAGCCCCCTACCCTTAGTCCTAGCGCTTCTTGGCCAAGGGTATGGAGGGGTTTTGAATGTTTAGTTCCTTCTGCCCAGGGACAGGTGGGCTTCCTGTACTCCAGAGGCTTCAGACCTGTAAAGACAGGCTGGGTTTAATTTTGGTGTGGCACTGTGGGTTAATGCGCCAGACTGCAAAGCCGTTTGAACTGCAAGGTTGGTGGTTCAGGCTCACCAGTCACTCCTTGGAAACCCTATACAGGGTCGCTATGGGTCAGAACCGACTCAACGGCACTTAACAACAACATGCAGTGGACCTGGCTCTGAGGGCCTGGCTCATGGCCTGAGTGAGTGGGTCTGTTCCTCTGGTCTCAGGTACTTTCTTCTGGTCTGGCTGTGGCCACTGCTTTCCTCCCTGGTTGGAGCAAATACTGATAGTTGCCTGGGATTCTGGGCCTTTCAGCAAGTTTCCCTGGTACCCTCTCTGTGCTAGGGACACAGACAGGTCAAGGGGCCTCTGTACTTGAGGCTCTCTCAGTCTGACAGACACTAACTACTCTCCAACTCTGTTGTTGTTAAGTGCCATTGAGTCAGTTCTGACCCATAGCAACCCTATATAGGGTTTCCTAGGAGCGGCTGGTGAGCTTGAACCACCGACCTTGCAGTTCAGACTGACTTTGCAGTCTAGCACATTAACCCATAGCGCCACACCAGGACTCTACTCTCCAACTCTGGGAGTAGAGGATTACTGTTTCAGTTTGTTACCTGAGGCCCTAACAGGTAACAGTATAAATTTAACAGATCACTTAGCCAGCTTTAAACCCAGATATTTCCATCAAGTCTTGAGGCATCCCTGGTCCTCCATCAATGGTCACTTCACTGTGGTCCCTTTGTGGATAATTGATGATTGAACAAATGAATTCAACAACTCATTGATGATGCTCCCACCTCTATTCCCAATGTCCAATTTAATACTAGTTCAATCAGCTTTCTGCTCCAGTAGACTGAGTCTGTCTGCTTCTCCCTACTTCCACCACTGCCTCCCAGGTCCAAGCCATCACTGTCATCTCCCTTCAATATGTCAACAGTGTCCTCACTGTTCTTCTGGCTTCCAGAAGGAATCGTTCAGGAACTCGTGTCTGATCATATCATTCTTAAAACCCACAACCTCCTTAGCTAACTGTAATACTGCCCAGTTAGCCTTATTGACCGAATCCCCTTCTCCACAGCTTACTCCCCCCTCTGCCTGTACCACAGAGAAATCAGTTACTATGAAACAGTAACCATTAGTTTAGCGTGTGTCTGTTGTGGTGCTGTGGGATAAGCACTGGACTACTAATCACAATGTCAGTGGTTTGAACCCACCAATCACTCCTTAGAAATGCTATACAGGGTTGCTATGAATCGGAACCGACTCCACGGTACTTAACAACAACAGTATGTAGGAGGCAGAGGGACTTTGAGTCCTCTAAAGACTGCTACCCCAAGGGGAGAGGGGAAAGGAATTTTATAGGGATTTGGGCCATAGGGGCTAAGGTATTTCAGGAACTTCTTTGTTCTGTTTATTTCAGGTTACGCTGATCACTCTAGATATGTTGTCTCTAATAGGCACCACTTTTGTTCGTTTAAGTGGTCTTCCCTTCATTTACATAATAGTCCTGGGAATGAGAGTTTGCTATTAGCTTATCTACAAAGGGTTACTGGTGTTTTGTGCCATCCATTCGGTTCCAACTCCTAGCAACCCTGTATGGGGCTTCCGAGGAGCAACTGGTGAGTTTGAACCACCAACTTTGCAGTTAGCAGTCCAGTGCTTCTTCTACACAACACCACACCAGGACTCCTACTGATGGCTTTTTGCTTGAACAAAGAGAGTTATTCTGGCAAGCTGCGGCTCCAAGGTCTTTTATTTGCAAAGGAAGAAAAATGGTTTTAACGAACAGTGGTTTGTAAAGAAAAAAAAAGGTTTATTTTAAGAAGCTACAGCTTTACTGTCATGCTCTTACAGTGTCTGGCTCCTTCTCATTTTCCTGGACACAGCTTACCTGCCACTTCCTTGGGGAGACCTTCCCAGACCACCCAATCCAAAGCTTCACTCTTTCTATTCTATTTCCTTCCTTTCTGAAAGGGGTTTGTGTGTCACTGCCAGGTCCACCCCAATCAGGGAAGGGGTGCCGTGAGAGTAGGGCCCCTACTCACCTCTGCATCTCAGCACCCAGGTCAGTGCTTGGCACCTAGTAAGCACTCAGTCAGTACTTGTTGAGTGCTTGCTGTGTGCCAGTCATTGTGCTAAGGGCTGTGGGGGGATCCAGAGGTAAACGGCTCCAACTCTCCAAGAGTTTAGCTAGAAACATGATGATACAGAGTGACCAATGAGGACTGAGCTGGAGAAACCGGCTAAGGCACTATGTGGGCCACACCTGAGCATGGCATTTCCAAGGAAAGAGAATGGGATACCCAAGCCTAATGGGAGAATGATGGTGGATGGCTAGGCACAATGGAGATCAGGGGGTGGGGACTGGAGGGATCCTGCTTTCTAGGCATTGAGACTCCTAGCCATCACTGACCCAGTAGGAAGTTAGGAATTGAAAGGAGGGAAGATAGCCCGGAGAAGGCAGTACCATTTATTTAGTACCTGGTGGTGGTGGTTATGTGCTATGGATTTGGTTCTGACTCATAGCGACCCTGTATAGGGTTTCCAAGGTTGTAAATCTTTATTGGAGCAGAAAGCCTCATCTTTCTCCTGCAGACTTGAACTGCTGACCTTGCGTTTAGCGGCCCAGCTCATAACCCACTACACTACTATGTATCAATACTACGTATGACAAGTGTATTGCAGTCTGTCAGGTGAGTTCACTGAGGAGGAGACTAGGGCTTCAAGGCAGTGACTTATCCTAGGAGAAACCTGCAGGCAGGTCTGAACACAGGTCAGCTTGGTGCTGGAGCTGTAGTTTTTTGTTTGCCCCTGGCCTGTAGAGCCTCAGGAAGCAAGAAGTGGACTGGGGCAGGGACTGTGTATTGTAAACCAGGGCCAAGGGTGGCTCTGACCTAGCCCTTGGCCTCTCCGTAGTCGGTGGCAGCCAAAACTTGCGCTTCTACTGGAAGGAGTTTGTGAATGAGGTGGATGTGCTGGTGTTCATAGTGGATTCGGCTGACCGGCTGCGTCTGCAGTGGGCCCGGCAAGAACTTCACAAGCTGCTGGACAAGGATCCTGACCTGCCTGTCGTCGTGGTGGCCAACAAGCAGGTGAGGCCTCTGGGAGGCTGACTCAGGCCGACTGGGCCTCCACTGCAGATGCCTGGGCAGGGCAGGGTGCACTCAGGGATTTAGATGCAGACCTATGACCTCATGAGCCTGGCAGAGATAATGTCCCCCCTCCTCTGGCCTCATCCCTGAACTCTGTCTTCCTTCCTCTCTGCTTTTCTATCATCTGCCAACCTAGAGAGATGAAAAGCAGTAATTAATAAGCACCTACTAGGTGCCAGTCAGGCAAATCCTTGGGTATCACAAACCGTTAAGCACTCAACAACTAACTAGAGGGTTGGGGGTTCATACAGGGTCACTATGATACCCACTTGCCAACATACAGCAGCAGTAGCAGTGTGGTGTTGAATGACATATTATGTTTCTGTTGATCCTACAAGGCATGCGACACTCTTCCCATTTTACAGATGGGAAATCTGAAGATCAGAAAAGTTTTGTAATCTCCCAAGGTTGTATAGCTTGAAAGTGGTGGAATGCAGATGTCTAACTTAAAAACTTGTGTCTTTTCCACTCTGTTGTGCTCTTGTGACTTCTGGATATAGATCAGAGAGCCAGCGATGAGAAGTGGTAAGAAATAGAAAGGATTAAATCATAATAACCAACTAACATTTCTTGCATGCTTACAGTGTGTCAGGTACTTTGCTAAGCACTAGACAATCATGAGTTCACCTGAGACCTATAGGAAGCCCATGGTAGACCCTGCTGTTAGCCCGCTTTGCAAATACTGAGACCTGGAGAAGTACCTAAAGTTACAGAAAGTTTGTGGCAAAGCCAGAACTTCAGCTTGGATCATCTCAAAGTTCTTGATCTTAACCTCTACCCTGTGCCTCTCCCAGACCAGGGAGCTACCCTGGGCCCCACAGTCTCAGGATCATAGACCTTGGGTGGCATTCTCAGCACCTGCAATATGACCACAGTACAGAGCTCCTGGGACCAACCTGCTTAGAGAGAGGCTCTATGTCTTTGACTGTAGGTTTCCCCTGCCTGTTGGGAAAGACTGGATGATCATTTATAAATGGACCATATGTCCAGTCAGCCCTGGACAAGCCTGTTTATGCTGTTCTTCTGCTATCCCTACTAAGGGTATCTTCAAGTCTCAGAAGTCTTGGTGAGGACAATAAATTACATCATCATCCTGATTTTAAACTACAAGGAGGCTTCAAAAAGTTTGTGGAAAAAATGGAATTAAAAGATCATAGAGACTGCTGGGTCAGCGACGCCATGTCTTTCTGCAGCTTCTTTGGAGGCAAGGTTTTCCAGAACCGTTTTGAACCGGGTGTCTGTATGTGTGCCAAGTGTGGCTGTGAGCTGTTCTCCAGCTGTTCAAAGTTCAGCCACTCATCCACTTGGTCGGTGTTCACTGAGACCATCTACCCTGACAGCGTGGCCAAGCGTCCAGTGCACAATCAGCCTGGCGCCGTAAAGGTGTCCTGTGGTCCCTGTGGCAACAGGCTGGTGCATGAGTTCCTCAATGACGGCCCCAAGTGGGGATGGTCCTGATTCTGAATATTTAACAGCTCGCTGAAGTTCATCCCTAAAGGTCAAGAATCTTCTGCCACCCAGGGGAAATAAGCGAACAGCCCACACCCTTCAAATGGCCACCCCTTGCAGGAAGTGGAGCCCGTCGACATTCAGGGAGAGAGTGATGGGATGGGGCTGGGGCTGGAACATCAGGACACAAGCAGGTGCTTCCTGATTGGTCCACACTCCTCTTTGCCAGGATAGGACCAAGAGGCTGAGTGGCTGACTCATCTTGGCCTCGGATTCTCAAGGCCAGCATTGTGGGCTTAGTGCGTCTTGAAAGACATTGCACCCCCATCTGATGTTCTCAGCCTGGCTTCCCCTCTCTGCCTGTCTGGACTCATTCTTGTGGCAGAGGGCTCTGGCCCTCACCAAGGCCCTTACTAAGTCCTCCCGCCCCAAGCTATGTAGGCAGACAGTGCCAGCAAAGCCATCCTGGCTGGCTGCTCCAGCCCTGGTCTCCACATGATTTGCTCTGGTTAAACCCTTCCAGGCCCACCAGGGTGCTGATGGTTTGTGTCTTGCTGGGACAGCAGGCCAACAGCACAGCCCCTCATCTCTGTTGGAGAGGTGTACCCCTAAACCCCAGTTCTCGGTCTGTGGGATGCACTGACCTCCAACCAGCCCTAGCCGTCCACACCTGCAAAGTCCTTCCCCCAGAGACTCCGGCTGTGCCTTAATGTGTTTGCTCCAGTGGTCCTGCCAGCCTGCTCGGGACGTGCTAGAGACCCCTCCTTCTTGAAGATTTTCTGGAGGAATAATGTGAAAATCAATAAACCAAGGACACCCAGGCCCACACAAAAAAAGAAGATCATAGATTTGTTTCCACACTTTCTGAAGTCCCTTCATATAACTTAAAGCAGTTTTAAACCAACAGAGGACCATATGTGAAAGATCCTAGCATTCTATGAGTAGAGAATCAGCAAAAAAGAGGAAGACCCCCAATGAAATGGATTGGCACAGTGGCAGCAGCAATGGGCTCAAGTGTAGCAACAATTGTGGAGTTGGTGGAGGACTGCACAGTGTTTTGTTCTGTTGTGCAGAGGGTTGCTATGAATCGGCACTGACTTGACAGCCCCCAACAACATTAACAAGCAGTATATGAATTGATCAATGAATTATTTTGAGGCCAGGGTTAGAATATTAAATGTATTGTCACCAGCCATGTTATATGTTGTTAAGTGCCATCGAGTTCAGTTCCAATCATAGCGACCCTGTCTAGGTTTTCCAAGGAGCAGCTAGTGGGTTTTAACCACCACCTACCTTGTGGTTCAAACTGACCTTGCAGCCCAGCACATTATCCTGCAATGCCACACCGAACCCCATGCTATATGGTTTTGTTGTTTAGTGCCGTTGAGTCGATTCTGGTTCATGGTGACCCCGTACAGGGTTTCCGAGGAGCAGCTGATAGGTTTGAACTGCCAACAGTTCAAACTACAGTGCCACACCAGGAGTCCCCATGCTATATAGTAGCCCCCTTTTGTCCATTCGTCAGCTTCTAAGGGAAATAGGTCCTAGTCTGGGACATGAGCCTACTGTCAGATCTCTTCACTGATGAGGTGGGATACCTCTAAGGGTCATCAGTTTTGTCATCACAGTGTATGACATACAGGAAGTGATCAGTTTCTTACCTGAGTGACTGATGTTGGATGGCAAGAGCTTAGTACAGAGGAGAGTCAGATGAAGGGAGGGGATTGCATTTAGACCAAGGGCTCCAGAAGCTGCTCCTGGGACTTGGGCCCTAGTGCTCCCTAGGTAGTTCAAGAACAATTATTTAATGGATGCCAAGGATAGGAGCAGGCTAGGAAATCTCTGGTTGTCCTGTTTCAACTGGCTGCTCTGTTTCCCCAGGACCTGAGCGAGGCCATGAGTGTGGTGGAGCTACAGCGGGAGCTGGGCCTGCAGACCATCGACAGCCAACATGAGGTATTCCTCTTGGCAGCCAGCATTGCCCCCACAGGGCCTGGCTCCAACGAGCCTGGCACCGTGCACATCTGGAAGCTGCTCCTGGAGCTTCTCTCCTAGACTGGAGCCCCCCTGCTCAGCATCTCACCCTAGGATCCAGGAACCTGAGGTGGAGCCACGTGGCACACTTCCCTTCTCTTCCCTCAGGAGGGGCTTGGCAGAACCAAGAACTTAGTGGAAGCCTCCCTGGGGGAGGTACCTGTGGAGCTGAGGCAGGGAGTGGGAGGAAAGACAGAGGGCAGGAGAGGATCATGTCCTGCGCATCTCTGACTGGATCGGTGACCCAACCTTCCACAGGGAAGACACCATCTCTCTTACCTGGACAGAACGATGCTCATGGGTCTGTCCTTGCCTTGCGACAGTCTCGGGGGTAGAAGGACCATGTAGGTGTTAGAAGCACTCCAGGAGCCACTCGTGCTGGTGGCATATGGGCAGGTTCTGGGCATCACTCGTGAGCCCTGGCTCCCAGCCCTGCAGTAGAGTGCAGCCCTGCTTCTGCCTCGTTTACCATGACTTTGTGCTGTCTCTTTGTTTCTCTGTGCCCAGGGCCATCATTTTGAAAGGGAGGTAGCGTCCATGGTCTTTTCTGTCTTGGAGATGCTCTTCCCATCCCTGGAGATAGGAATTACTAAGGCTGTAGGATAAGCACTGGACTGCAAATCACAAGGTCAGTGATTCAAACCCCTCAGTCACTATGCAGGGTCATAGTCAATGGCACTCAACAACAACAATAAAACAAACCTGGACATCCTAGCAAGGAGCTTTCCGAAGACCCCCCTGCTTCTCACTGAGCCAGGGCCTGGCCTGCCAACCTTTCTTGACGACAGAATAAGAGACACTCATCTACCAGGCAGAAAAACTATTTTTCCTAGTCTGGAGATAAGAAGCTATTGACCTCCGCAGTAAGCACTAACTGTGCTAATGCTCGTGTTTACTTAAGTCTGGGGAACAGAGGAGCCCACGTTCCCTGGGAGAAGACTGTATGGGAGCTAGGTGTCGGCCTCAGACCTACATTTTATTTATTTATTTATTTATTTTTAAAAGGAACAGGCCAAAGTTCTAGGCTCCCGTTCCTCGGTGCTGTTCTCAAAACGCCACATGATGGCTGTGGTAAACTTAAAAATAGCTGGAATCAGGAGACCAGGCTTGAGCTATATGACAAAGGAGGTTTCACATTGATCCCCAGTGAACTTAAACTCCACCGCTTGGCCTGCTACAAAGGGATGGAGACCTTTTCTGTATGAATACTAGATGCCTGTAGGAGAGGACATTTCTGTCATGTGAATACAGGTGAAATGAAAAACCTCTGGGCGGGATGTAGCAGAGCAAGCCGCAGGCGGCCTCAAGAGCATCACTCTGCCTTTCTGGACCCGTTTCTTCCCCAGCCACAGCAGAGCTGGACAGTAGCACATTCCATGAGCTTCCTATACCTCAGAGATCAGTCTGTTTGAGGACTGTTATGTTGACACTTCTCTTTAGTTCAGGCAGAAGGAGCCATTTTGTCAGGGACCACTGAGTAATCAAGAGCCACAAATGGAATTTTTTTTCTTAGAGAACATAGTAAACTCCATTTACTTTTGACTTGAGAATGGAGATTATGTGCCTTCATTTCATTTGCCGTTTATTACCGCTCAGCCAGTATAGGCCTCAGTTCCATGCAATAGCCAGCATAAGAAGAGGCACCTGGTAGTGAGCACCAGAAGCCATCCAATAATTTAGAAAAGTGAGTGGGTTTTATAAAAGTGTGACATTTGCAATTTTGCTTATCATGTTTTGTTTTGTTGTCATTGGGAAAGGTAAGATACTACAGGTGGTCCCCCAGGTTATAAACGAGAGCCATTCTCAAGGAACACGTACAACAGTTCATATTGTTGTTGTTAAGTGCTGTCAAGTCGGTTCCGACCCATTGTGACCCTGTATAGAGTTTCCGAGGAGCAGCTGGTGAGCTTGAACTGCCAACTTTGCAGTTTTTAAACAGACTCTGCAGTCCCGCGCATTAACCCACAGTGCCACACCAAGACCCGTTAGTGCAAAAAGGTGCCCTGGTGGTGCCGTGGGTTAAGCATTGGACTGCTACCTGCAAGATTGGTGGTTCAAACCCACCAGCCACTCCTCAAAAGACAGAGGAAGCTGTGTGTTTCTGTTAGGACTGACCGTCTCTGAAATCCTAAGTTTTTCTCTGTCCTGTAGGATCCCTGTGACTCAGAATCAACTGGACAGTAGTGGGCTAGGGCAAGAAAAGGCTCTGAAGTCTTTTCAGTGATTTAAAAGTCTTCAAGTGAAGGTGGCTATGATGAAGAATTTGCTATGAGTAGTTCTTGGTGTGGCATTTTAGGATAAGCACCAGGTTGGTGGTTCAAATCTACCACCCGCTCCTTGGAAATCCTATGTAGGGGTGCTCTGAGTTGGAACCAAGTTGATGGCACTTAACAACAGCAACAAAGGGCAAATAGGAGTTGTAAATCAGACTTTCACATTTTTGTTAACACCTTTTTTCTCCAGGGCTTGTAGAACAGCAGTAATTGTGAGGGGGTTGGGTGGACCTTTTTCACTAATGAAGATCGTTTTGGCTTAGCATTATGTAGTATAACTTTTAAAGTCCCCAGTCAGGGAGGGGAACTAGAGTAATAAATGGTTGAACTCCTTTTTTCAGAGATCCCTCTGAATGGTCGGGTTCAGTAATACCCATTGGAAAACAAGTGCCACTGAGCAAAATAAAGTCTTGAGTTCCACCCCTCCCTGTGACAGAATGTAGGTGTTCTGCATGTGGTTTGCAACACCACATCTGTAGCTAACGGCTACTTTCTTGTGGGGTTCCTGGCTTATTACCCAGGCAGTCACAAACCATGCTATCTGCTCTGGACTCCTCAAGGCCAGGGCAGGAATGGCTGACCAGGACTGGACTTGGGAGAAGTTGGAAAGAAGCCTTTAAGAAGCTGAACTCACTGTGTAGCCTGCTGGTGCTCTGACGCAGTCATTCCTGAATACTTCCAATTCCAGAGCCCAGAACACCTGGGCTTGAATGAAGGTGATCGTGAGGCTCTGGATCTGTCAGTGGATAGACATCTTACCTGTTAAATTTGTGTCTATTATTAACCCTGGCACTGGGTCTCGGTTCTGAAATTATTTAAAGCAAATCATGGTTTCTGATTTTCTCATCTCGGACCTGTTTTGCCATCCATATGGAGAAGCCAACCCAACCCATAGTTTGGACATTTGAATGGTCTGGGTTTCTAAGGCTGCTACGACGTCCATGTTGGATTGGCAACCCTTCCCAAGATGCCACCTCTGGTTTCTCTTGGTGCCCAGAATTGTAGTTTTTTTAGACTTTCACTGCCACAGCAGCATTCAGCTGGAAGGACAGAGGTGCGGAAGAGAATCTGACCACTCCTGCCATCTGCCTCAGCAAAACACTAGCTTCTCCACAAAGCATTTCCATGTGTCTTTGGAAAGCATTGTTCTTATGCCTAGGTAGGAGTTGCCAGCATTTTAAACCAGCTGCTAAAACCAGCCTGACATTCCTCACGCAGCTGCCCCAACCACAAACCTGAGGTGTTTTGACAGTTTGCTGTCTGGCATTTCGAATAGTCATGAAAGAGGCACCTGTAGCTTTTCGGGCTGCTGCCTCTAGGAGGGGGTCTCACAAAGGGACAAGTGGATTTCCACCAAAGATCTGGAAATGAGGGGACCTTGCTGCCTCAGACCATCCACAGAGCTGCTGAAGACAAACTACATAAATCTGAGTGTCCTGAACATTGGAGGTACAAAATAAATGCCAAAAACTCTGATGTGGTTTCATTTGGTTTTGAGTAGGTACTGGGTATAATGAGAGGCAGCTATGGAGGGTGCCAAAACACGTTCCTGTGACAAGTCTCAGTCCCCTGGCCCTTAAGTTCATGTTGGGGAAAGGGAGTTTAAGGACCATCAACTTTGGCAGGACATCTTATGAGGTGTCAAAACCCTCCTCCCGCATCCTTTGGGAGTTCTTGCTGATTGAGAGATGGGGCAGAGCCAGGCTGGAAATTGAAACAAAGGCAATCTGTCTCCATGCCAAAGGTCAGGATGGAGGTCACGTAACCATGCCTTCATTCTTCCGGCAGGCATCCCCCACACCTGCTTCCAGACAGGTTCCCTGGTTTCCCAGGCGAGGTCCCAGCCCTCAAGGCAGAGCAGTGATGAGTATTACTACAGGAAGACCAGGGGGAAGGGAGTACAGGACTTGTACAGCCTGCTGGGCCAGAGAGAGTGATTAGGGAGACTCTGGGAAGTCAGCACCTAATGGCGTAAGGAAATGAAGGGGCACCTTGTCAGAAGCTTAAAGGTGACTCATGTTTGGATTTCATTAGAGGATGCAAGGGGACTTTGGAGCTGTTTCAGGATAAGTCCTAAAGGCTGTGAAGTTACAGGGCGTCTGGGACTCCCAGCTTGCTTCCAGGGGCTTGAAGGGAAGACAGTTGAGAGTCTAGACTTAATTGTTATACTTGGCTTCATCTCTTGAGCCTTACAGCACCAAATTGCAGACCACAAGGCTGGCAAGTCAACCCCACCAGCTGCTCCTCAGAAACCCTATACAGGGGCCTTAGGAGTCAGAATTGACAGCACTTAACAAGAAGAGTCTGAAACAACTTACAGGGTTTTATACAGACTGATGTAATTAGATGAACCCCTCCTCCTTATCAAGAGCAAGCAAAGTCAGACTATAGGGATTTCTTTCCTTAAGGACAAACCTTAGGAATGAGAGTTTCTGTATTCATAGTTGGGGATGAAGTATTCAAATTAAATGCCCAGTACCCATCTCACGTGCCACCAAATCAGACAGGCCTGGCCCAGAAGTATGCCCTGCAGTGTGCCCCAGTGTTCGGCACATGAGGTGGTATCCGGTGGTCTGCCACACTGTCCCAGAAGGGAGGTTTCAGGACCTCAGGTTCACTTTGAGCCAAGGCCAACAAAATAGTTCATAAGAGCAGTGATGGCAGGTAATGTGAAGGCAGCCCATAGCTGTGGGGGTCACCAGCCCCCAACTGGGAAGGCCATTGGTCATGCTGGCCTCTTTAAAGTAACCCAGCATTCCTGGCAGGCTTCTGTAGAAGGGTTCATGGAACTCCTCTACAGAAATCCAGGCAAACAGCAATGGACCCAAAAACAAGGCAAAAGGGATGGCCTCCCTGCCCTGGTTAAGTTGATTTTTCATAGGGGCAGCCTCAAGACGTGGCTAGGAGAAAATACAAAAAAATCAGTAAAATAGCCGTGTTTTATTATGTACAGATTACATTCAAACAAGCAAATCACCTAGTCTAAACAGTATGCTCTGGCTTTTTCCTGAACTTCTGGGAAACTGTTCCTTGGCATTAGCCCCTTCCCCAGAGCAGGAAGGAATGTGTGCGTGTAACCTCTGATTCCATGGGGTTTGGCCAGTCTGCTATAGTCACACATCCCTCTGTGCCTTAACCCTGAGCTTCAACTTCTCTGGTCCAGACAGAAGTCTCAGGCAGGAACAGGCGTAAACCAGTTACTCAACTTCCATCTTACTGTTCTGCAAAGAATCGGTGAAGGACTGCCACTCGGCTGGGTAAAAACGTTTATAGACGTTGATCTTATTCCGAATCTGTTTCGGGGTATCTTGATAGTAATTCTTCTCATCCCGGGCCATAGCCTACAAAGAGAAGGGCCACCTGTCAAAGTCTTAACAAAGGTTCAAATCCTAACTCTGTCACTGGGCAAGCTACTTCCTGCCTCTGAGGTTCAACTTCTCACCTCAAGCTACATGAAGGCCCTCTGTCTGCACTGACAGGCTGGGGAAACAGGTGCAAATGTCCATAGGGACCAGGCAGTCACTGAGTAACCAGGCAGGAGCTGGGGCCAGCTGAGGCACACATGTTGCATCCGGAGTCAACTAACCCAATATAGGCACAGAGGTCCAGCATAGCCAGAGCTTCTGATTGTTAAAGAGAAATCAAAAATAGGGACTTGTATTTGAAATCTCATAATTAAAATGGTAATGAATTCCCAGTGGAGTAAAACAACCTATCTGTGTCAGTTGGAAGTGATCACACCATACTGCTGCTAACATTATTAGATCCCTGTCCATGGGATTCAGTTCCCAGAGTCTCTTTCTCTCCCTTTCTTTTCACTCGGTCTAAAAAAACAGGCAGTAGGGCAAGCAGAGTAGGCTACTAAAGGCCTACTAAAGGTATCTTCCCACCTGTCTCTGTGGTTCTTCCTCCTAGGTCTGAGCCGCTCACCTTATAGTCTTCCCCATGGTTCTCCACCATGTAGCGTACGTAGTCAATGAGGTCCCGTGACAAGGTATTGCCTTTCTTTTCTGGGAGGCTGGCTTCTGCTTCCAGGTCTGGAGTGAAAGAAGCCAGGAGACAGGAAATGAGACCTTGCTTCGGCACTATTTGAACCGTCCCATTAAGAAGACAAGAGGGAAAAGGTCAAAATGGATGTCAGAAGAGACACTGAAACTTGCTCTCCAGCATAGAGATGCTAAAACAAATGGAAGAAATGAGGAGGTCCAAGAGCTGAACAGAAAATTTCAAAGATCAGCTCAAGAAAATAAAGCCAAATATTACAACAAAATGTGCAAAGATCTGGAATCAGAAAACCAAAAAGGAAGAACACGCTCAGCATTTCTCAAGCTGGGGGAACTGAATAAAAAATTCAAGCCTCGACTTTCGTTATTGAAAGATTCTCTGGGCAAATTACTGAGTGATAAAGAAAGCATCAAGAGACGATGGAAGGCTATACAAGAGTCACTGTACCAAAAGGAACTGGTTAATGTTCAAGAGGTAGCATATGAACAAGAGCCAATGATACTGAAGGAGGAAGTCCAAGGTGCATTGAAGGAATTGGCAAAGAACAAGGCACCAAGAATTGATGGAATAAAAATTGAAATCTTTCAAGAAAGTAAGGCGGCACAGGAGGCACTCACTCATCTCTGCCAAGAAATCTGGAAGACAACTATCTGGCCAACTGATTGGAAGAGATCTTTATTTGTGCTCATTCCAAAGAGAGGTGACCCAACGGAATGCGGAAATCATTGGGCATTCTCTTTGATGTCCCATGCGAGTAAAGTTTTACTAAAGGTAATACAGAATTGGCTGCAAGCATACATTGACAGACAACTTCCAAAGGTTAAAGCTGGATTCAAAAGAGGCCATGGTGCGAGGGATATCATTGCTTATGTCCAATGGATCTTGGCCGAAAGCAGAGAATATCAGAAAGATGTTTACCTGTGCTTTATTGACTATGCAAAGGCTTTTGACTGTGCGGATCATGACAAGCTCTGCACAACACTACGAAGTATGAATGTTCCGAAACAATTGTGCTCATGGACCAAGAGGCAGTTGTTTGAACAGAACATGGGAACACTGAATGGTTTAAAATTAAGAAAGGTGTGTGACAAGGTTGTATTGTTTCACCATACTTATTCAACCTGTATGCTGAGCAAATAATACGAGAAGCTGGGTTCTATGAAGAAAAACTTGGTATCAGGATTGGAGGAAGACTCATTAACAACTTGCGATACGCAGATGATACAACCTTGCTTGCTGAAAGTGAAGAGGACTTGAAACATTTACTGATGAAGATCAAAGAGCACAGCCTTTGGTATAGATTACATCTCAATGTAAAGAAAACAAAAATCCTCACCACTGGACCAATAAACATTCTTATCAACGGAAAAAAGATTGAAGTTGTCAAGGACTTCATTCTTTTTGGATCAACACCCACGGAAGTAGCAGTCAAGAGATCAAACGACATATTGCACTGGGCAAATATGCTGTACATGACCTTTTTAAAGTGTTGAAGAGCAAAGATGTCAGCTTGAAGACTAAAGTGCACCTGACCCAAGCCATGGTATTTTCAATAACCTCATATGCATGTGAAAGCTGGATATGTGAATAAGGAAGACTGCAGAAGAAGTGATGCATTTGAGTTATGGTGTTGGAGGAGAATATTGAAAGTGCCATGGGCTGCCAAAAGAACCAGTAGATCCGTTTTTGGAAGAAGTGCAGCCAAAGTGCTCCTTGGAGACCAGGATGGACAAGCTTCGTCTCTCATACTTCGTACATATTGTCAAGAGGGACCAGTCGCTAGAGAAGGATCTCATGTTTGGTAAGATAGAGGGTCAGAGAAAAAGAGGAAGACCCCCAACGAGATGGATTGGCTAAGTAGCAGCATTGATGGGCTCAAGCGTGGCAATAATAGTTTGGCCCAGGATCAGGCAGTGTTTTGTTGTACTGTGCATAAGGTCGCTGAGTCGGTACCAACTCGATGGCACCTATACAACATCATTATCCCAAAACCCAATTCCATGCCACCAGCCAGCACTGCAGCCATCTATGCTTTGCCTCTCAATCCCCAAATTCACTGATGGATCTTACTCTCCAGTCCCAGACCCCAGGCTGTGCTGCCTATGGTAGATGATTGGCAACTAACTGAGGCCAATCACCTCTCTCCAACCATCAGATGGGCAAAATGAGAGCACTTAATAACCTGAGGAAGATACTTCCAGCCCACAGGCCAGGGGTCTCTTCCAGTTCAAAAGCTCTCAGGATAAGAACCCCTTCTGCAAATACATGAAAGAGAGATCAGAATAAATGAGAACAAGAGCTGCAGGGACTGGGGCATTTCACTGCTCCATGCAGGGAAATCTAGGCAAGTGAGTCCAGCATGAAGGGAAAGTCAGAGCTACTTCATGGAACGATAATACCATCTTGCCTTCAGCAGAGCTATTGGAAATTCCTGACAAGAAGCGAGATGGATGAATGGAGAGTTCCAGAGTATTCCTACTTCCCTTCATTTATTTTCTTATGCTTTAGGATTCCGTTTCTATACCCTTAGTGTACATGAACTAGAGCTGTAGCTGAGAAGAAGAAATAAGATGGAGAATCTCTAAAATCAGTTTATTCTTAAATCTATGAGAAACCCAACACCTGCCTGAGACTCGGTGGTTTCTTTTCTTCCCCTAGCCACCTGGACGCCTCCTCTGTGGCCCTCTCTCTCCAACCTTAGTTTACGCAGCTGGGTTTAGTCAGTACATTAACAGTATCCCAGCCAAGACCACTGCACCAGCTCACTTTTCCCTTCTCAAACTGTAAAATAAGGGCCTGTGAGGATTCTTTTGAGGATTCTTTCTAGTTCTTGAAATGCAGGGCGATGATCTAGAGGCATATGGCCCACACCCACCGTTCAATACATAGGGCTTCCGCACCAGCTCCTTTGTCCTCTGGACATCTACCTCCATGGCATGCACCTGCAAAGAAAAGACAAGTCCGTGAGGAGAACAGTAAACAAAAGAAGGGTCCTAAGTGAGGAATCAGATCCTGCTGCCATCCCACGGTCAAACAGAACTAGCTAACTAGGAGAAGCAATGCCCTGGAGTCTTTATCAACTGGAACCCATGGTTCCCATAAGAAATACAAGGTAGCAATTCATCAATCTGTGTCCAGCTGTAAAATGGGTATAATGCTCCTTGATTGCCTTACTTGAAGCAACGCACATCAAAGTGCTTTAGAATTTACAGTAAGGGGGAGATGTCTGTATGGGGAGGAGCTACCTGACAGCGTCTGGTTCTTGTTCCACACGTGTTCAAGCAGTAATGTCATATTCCTCTTGCTGGATGGAATAAAAGTAATAAAATCTGCCTAAGGGCAATGGCAGGAATCCTGGTGTGGTGCTGTGAGTTAATGCGCCAGACTACAAAGTTGTTTGAACTGTAAGGTCGGCAGTTCAAGCTCACCAGCTGCTCCTAGAAAATCCTATACAGGGTTGCTAAGAGTCGGAACTGACTCAACAGCACTTCACAGCAACCAGGGCAATGGGACAAATGCATTCAGTAAGCCCATTCATTAAATCAACTACTTATTTAAGATATCACTACATACGAAGAAGCTCTGGTAGCGTAGTGGTTACGAAAACTATCAGCTGTTCTGCGTAAGAAAGATGAGGCTTTCTGCTCCCATAAAGATTTACAGCCTCGGAAACCCTATACAGGGTTGCTATGAGTCAGAACCGACTCTACGGCACTGAACAACAAAAAAATATACTGAGAACCACTGAAGGTTTGCTGTTGTATGCTGTTGAGTCGGTTCTGACTCATAGTAACCCTGTATAGGACTTCTGAAAGTGGCTGGTGGGTTTGAATCATCAATCTTAATGTCCAGTGCTTACACTACATACATCACCACACAAGGACTCACTGAGGGCTATGTGGGGGACAAAACAAAGTCCTTGTCCTCAAGGAGGATAAGAGGGGAATGGACACAGATGATATAGAAGGGGGTTTCAAAAAGTTTGTGAAGTAATTAAAAAAATGGAATTTTCCCAAATTTTTTGAAGGTCCCTTGTATATTACCAAGTAGTTACTAGTACCGGGATTCCTCTAGAGCCCCAAATTCGTTAGTATTAGTTAAGAGCTCAGCTGCTGACAGAAAGTTCCGCAGTATGAACCCACCAGCTGCTCCACGGGAGAAAAATGTAGCAACCTACTTTCTATAAAAATTACAGTCTTGGAAAGCCTTGGAATGTTTTACTCCTTTTTGGAGTTCTGGTGTGGCGCTGTAAGATAAGCCCTGGACTGTTAACCACAAGGTCAGCAGTTCAAACCTACCAGCTGCTCCTTGGAAACCCTTATGCAAGGTTGCTATGAGACGAACCCTAATCCATGGAGTTTAGCAGCAACAACGACAGAGTTGTAATGAGTCTCGGAATCTACTTGAGAGCACACAACAACAATTACAGTGCTATGAATGAAAATAAGGCAGGCAGAGTTAGTGAGTAAAGGGTTTTGTTTTAGAAAGGTTGATCCAGAACGTGAAAGACCTGGGGTGTGTTAAAGAACAGCAAACGTCCACAATTCGGAAGAGTCCTTGTTAGGAAAAATAAGGACAGGAAAAGATGGAATCTGGAAAGGAACACAGCACGATCTCATAGGCTTCAAACAGGTTAATTTCAGGGGAGGTAGGTGGGGAGAGGGTAGGTAATGAGTGAAAGTGGCAAAGAAGTTAAAATCAACCCAGATCCAAATTTTTGTCAGTGCAAGCGGGGAGGGAGGTTAACTGTCAGAAGTTGCAAACCCGAGAAAGGAGTAAGAGGAAATATTGTTGTTGTTAAGTACCGTGGTGGGCACGCTCAAATTTTGGTGCCCGGCTAAGAGTGGTGGCGGCGGCGGCGGCGGGCGGCAAGGGCCAAGACCCTGCCAGGTCGTACCTTTCTCTTACGAAGAGGCACAGCCTTGTTGGGATCCATTGCCAGTCCCATCTCGGCCAGGTTCTGCCGCACCGATTTGGCGTGGTCCCAGGCATGTCGGATGTGGGAGCTGCGAGCAAAGAAGGTAAAGATCGCGGGTCCGTCATCTCACTCACCGGTCCGGTCCGAGGGCTCCAGCCTTTCGAACCCCGGCCCCCAGCCTTCCGAACCCCGACCCCCCTCACCACTCGATCCGCGGCGCTGCCTTCCGCCGAGCATTACGATTCAGCCGCTTTCGGTTGACATTGTAACCGAACTTCTGCCTCCGCGTCTTGCCCTTGGCCTTGGGCATCGCTGCGAGCACAGAACTTACAGCTCAGACACCGAAGTCTCTTGGGAACAGGACCTCGTGCAACAGATTTCTCACGGCGAGTCTGAAAATGGACTGCAGGCTTTTGGGAAATGTAGTCTTCCCGTAGTAACACCATGTAGATTACTACGACTCCCAGAATGCAATGTGAAACTGCGCCTGCGTACAACGTTCCGTAACTATAAATTTCCTCCCCCGACCTTTTCTGACGTCATCAGGGGGCGGAGCTCAGTGTTCCAGAGCGTTACTGCAGTGGTTGCTCTACGGTATGGCGACTCCTGGCTCTGTGACTCCCGAGGCACCCTTTGACCCTTCGCAGCCCCCTGTCATTGAGGGCTTTAGCCCTACTGTCTACAAAGACGCGGAAACCTTCAAGGAAAAGTTCCTTCGTAAGACCCGCGAGAATCCAATGGTGCCCTTAGGTAAGAGGGTGCTATAGGAACTATAGACTGAGAGGACACTGATGTCGAGAGGAATTAAATAGGGGTTGATCAGGATGTCAGAGGGGACCTAAATGAGAGTGGACCGGAAATGTGGTAGAGGGGCGGAGCGGTGAGAATGAACTTGATTGGAGTTGGATCAGCGCCTTTGATTGGGGGACTGGGGTAACAAGGAGCCGGGGGGCGGGTTTGGGGGATGGGCTCTGGAGGGGAAGGACCCACCCCCACCCCCGCTGCTGTCCAGAAACCATCTCTAGCCTCTTCTTCCCCTCCTCAGGTTGCTTGGGCACGGTGGCTGCCCTTGCTTATGGACTCTTCTGTTTCCACCGGGGCCAGAGCCAGCGTTCCCAGCTCATGATGCGCACACGGATCGTTGCTCAGGGCTTCACTGTCGCAGCCATTTTGATGGGTCTGGCAGCATCCGCTATGAAGCCTCGACACTGAGTCTCCCAGCTCGGCTCTGAAAGCGCCACAAAGATCATTCCTAGCCCCAGGAGCCACCGTAGGCCATAAGAGGGGACTTAGCCTCTTTATCTTCCCGTGTTGTTGGGGAAGGAAGTGGCGTGTGCCGTACCCACAGGCCTGGCGATTATGTAACCCACAGATTTCCACCCTCCCCCCTTCCCCCAGGAATCCCAGGTTTGGTTCGGATGTTGTTTTTGTTGCCATACCTACTCCACTTAATAAACAGTGGTCCACTTGTGGTTTAGTGAATTAATTCTCATTCTCACCCCTTTGGTTTGGGAAAGAGATACGTTTCAGATTGGAAAGACCCATAGAAATAATCTAAGTAGTGATTCCCAAACTTCCTAGTCACAGTGATCTGGACATTTGTTAAAAGTAGAGTCTCCCAGATCCTTCTTGAGATATTAGTTCACTGGGTCTAATGCGATACTTTTCATTGGATATTTTGAGAAAAATCAATCTGCCCAATACTCTTCGAGCTTTCAGCAGGAAAACGTTCAGGTGTAACTGGAGCTGCTATGATCTTGTCAAAGATCCGAACTCTCCTTTCCACTAGCCTCCTGAGAGCCCATTCCAGTGCTTGATGCATATTACAGGACAGGAAACTGAAACTGACAGTCCAGTGTAGTGGAAAGAGCATAGTCCAAAAACTCACCAATGATTTGTGTATGTAGGGTTTTGGAACAAAAGAGACCAGGAGATATGTGCAAACTCTTGAAGAAAGATAGTCCATGGGTGGTGTAGTGAACTACTATAATATGGCCCTTCTAGACATGGTCTAGAAGTACTGGTGGCCCAGTGGGTAAGCATCAGACTGCTAACAAGGTCTGTGGTTCAAAGCCAGCAGCTACTCAATCGTCTCATGTTGTGTACCGTGGAATCGGTTCCAGCTGCACAGGGTTTCTGAGGCTGCATATCTTTACAGGTGCAGAAAGCCTCATCTTTCTCCCACAGAACAGCTGGTAGTTTCGAACTGCCGACATTGAGGTTAGTAGATCGAATCATAACCACTACACTACCAGAACTCCTTATATGCATCTGAAAGTTGGACAATGAATAAGGAAGACTAGAAGAATTGATGCATTTGAGTTAAGGTGTTGGAGAAGAATATTAAAAGTACCATGGACTGCCAGACGAACAAATCCATGTTGGAAGAAGTACAGCCAGAATGCTCCTAAGAAAGCCAGGATGGCGAGATTTCATCTCTCATACTTCAGATGTTGTCAGGAGGGATCAGTCCTTCGAGAAGGACATCATGTTTGTTAAAGAGGAGAGTCAGCACCCCACATCAACAAGATTTGGCATAGTGGCAGCAGCAATTGGCTTAAATTCAACAATTTTGAGGATAGTGCAGAACTGGGCAGTGTCGCTCTGTTTGCTTGGGGTCATTGTGAGTCAAACAGGGTGGATAGCACCTAACAGCAATACAACTCTGTGGGAGATCGGCTGGCTGTTCCATAAAAATGGACAGTCTCTACCTAGAAAAGTGGTGACAACGGAGCGGTGGCATGGAGTGACAGAACAGCTGCAGGCTCTAGACCCATGGGCTGAATAAGGTGGTGTATCTGCGGCAGCTGGTTGGCTTGCAGAATGTGCCCTTTGGTCATTGAATTTATATTTTTTGTGTGCATCAAAATTTTTGCTTTGTTCATTTGTGAAATATAAGATGTAAATGGAGAGCCACAGGGGGGAGTAGGATAAATGTTTTTGCAGGGAAGGGATTGTAATTGAGATGAAACCAAGTGTATGCTTTGTTGAATGTAAAGCTGATGATTTGGCTGTAAACCTTTACTCAATTAACAATAAAAAGTTGAAAGAAGAAGGAAAAAAATGTTAAAAATCTTGGAATCCCTATCAAGAAGTCACTCTCGCTTTCAGTCAGAACTGACTCAAAGACAAGAGGTTTGGGTTTTTTTAAAGCCATGGTTTTGTGTGTTCACAGAATGATCAGGTAAGGCTGTACATAGCTGCTTGTAGCCCGCTAAGGGGACTGGACAGCATGTTAACAATGCAGATAAGTTGAATGGAACTCTTGTGGTGGTGGTAGTTGGTAAGTGCCTGAAGTTGATTCTAATTCATAGCAATTCTATATAGGGGTCCTGGGGAGCAGATGGGTTTGAACTGCTGAACTTGTGGTTCGCAGTCCAGTGTTTATCCTATAGTGTCATACCAAGAGTCCCTTGTGGTTGGGACCATACAAATAAGGTATATGGAAACCTAACACAACTGGTCAGTTATGCCATACCATTAGGCTTAAAGAGAGAAAATTCTTCCAGGTAGAAGAGGACCTCACTACCATCAAGAGGAGTCAGGAATGGAAACAAGACTCACAGGGAGGAAGTGGGGTGGGTAATATTACATTGTGAGGGATGCAATTATTGAAATGTATGTATATGATTTGTTGAATGGAAAACTAATTATCTACTCAGTAAATCTTCACTCACATTAAAAAAAAAAAGAAGCATTAGGAGCAGAGCACATCCTTTGGACCCAAGGCCCCTGCACTGAAAACCTCCTCAGATCCAAGAGACTGAGAGCTGGAGAACTTGAGGAGCAGCAGAACCAGGAGACCGGCATAAGACTCGTGTGTGTGTGTGTGTGTGTGTGTAGGTGGGTGTGGGTTTCCTGGCCCCCAGAGAGGCAAGCTACAATGGGAGTGCTGGCCTCTCAAGTGAGAGAGCCAAGAACTTTCAGGAAGGAGGCTTCCTGGTAGAATGGGGTGTCTCTGAGTAACATTTGCTGAAGCTGGCAGAATCCAAGTCTAAGAAAGGCCTGTCCTGAGGACAAAAGGGCCTGCCTGCTTGCATTGCTAAGAGGAGTTGAGAGAGTGGTACTGCGCTAAAAAAGAGGAATGTGCTCTTCACTTAGAGGAGACTTCCAAACTTGGCCTATGTGCTTCCTGATCCTGTTCCCAACTTGAACCTGTTACTTCCCTAGTAAGCCCCACAACTATGAGTGTAGTCTGAGAGTTGTGGCCACTGCAGTAGATATGCAAAGAGTGCCAGGGGTGGGAGGGACAGGAGAGAGGGCTGGTGTCTGAATTAGTAAAATGATAAGTCTGACCTCCACCTCATTGGAATCAGTCTTGGGCTGATGTCTTGATTCTCCTTCCCTCCCCTGAAGTTAGAGGAGGTCAGATGCCAGCCATGTTAGACCAGGAGTTCCTCATTTATGTAAAGTCTCAAGTATTCCTGTATGTGGTCAGTTCTAAGTGTTGATTGAGGGACTCAGTCCCTGTTGTAACTAGACCATTTTCAAGCTGGCAGAAAGGAAAAAAGGAAACGAAGAGATCCTCCCACTCTTAAGCCCCTGACAAACTATGTTGCTAAGTGAAGAGATGTCATTGTGTTGCCCCACCCTGGTCTCTGGGTTATAAGGCAGGTATTGCAAATGTTGAATAGGTGACCCTTGGCTCCAAGGCACAAGGACATGTTCCTGTAAAGAGGATGACCACTATTCATCTGGCTTATTACCACACAGGAATATGGACCCATTGATACCCAAGCAGCTTGATTGTCAAGCCAGAAATGTAGGTTGGTGTGTTGACAGTTACTTAGATCTTTTTGAACACTGCAGTCACAATGGCTTGGATGTAGACTGGTTGCAACCTCTGCTAAAGGGGAAGAAGGTGTGGTCACCGGTGGTTATAGCAACTCTATGGAGGGATACAGCTGAAGGAAGGGGTAAAACGTCAGAGCAGAAGGCTGTCCACATCCAGAAAGCCCCATTAGTCCCACCGAGCCTTCTCCCTCATAAAAGCTTTGAGAAAAATAATCTGGGAAAGCAACCTTCTCCAGCCTCTTACCCGAGCTTGTGTCTTCCCTCTCACTTCGAGCCATTGACCCTCTGGGAGTCTTGATGTCCTTAGCTATATGGCAGAATCTCAAAATTACAGGCTTGCCTCAGGAGAGGATTAAGGTTGTGAGTGCATTCTGTGAGAAGGTCTTTTCCCCCCACTGCAGGGTGAGGACAGTAAGCACAGACATCCAGCTGGGAGCTCCTGGATATCCAGGACAATATCCTCACCTCTCAAGGCCTGGAGCTGGAAATGATCTGAGCATAAACTGAACCCTGACACCTGTTGTGACTTCCAGAGAAATGAGAATGATAATAAATAGGTGTAAAAAGAGTTAACAATACACCCTTTAAGCCAAGAAAAAAATACATCAGGAGGGACAGTCACAACGGAGTGGACTGACAGGAGGTGTGAGGGGCTGGGCCATAGCGCCTGGAGGGGATGAGGGTGATGGGGTGAGGGGTCCCCTTCCCAGACACGGGAGATGGGGAGGAAAGGAATAGGCTGTGTGTAGCAGCTGCCCCTCCTCTGTCCGGCCCGGCCCATGCTTTGTGGCTGTGTTGCTGCAAGCAAGCACCTAGCGGGACAGCGGCGTCTGCTTCAGGGACATGAGCACCGAGCGCAGGCGAGACACATCTTTGCACTGCTTGCTGCTCTTGGGGTTGAAGTCACAAAGCTGGGCCACCTTCTCCCACTCAGTGCCTGGGGTTTCCTCCTTGGATTCCTTCACGAAAGCCTCCTCAGACGCCCTGCAGGTAGAGATAGGACAGAAGTTTCCCAGGTGTTCCTCTCGCCCCTGGATCAGTGATGCTCTGCAGTTGACTGCATGAGGCTGCTGTATGCAGAGATCTCCTCTCTAGCCCTGGTCCTCTGACTTCAGACCCTCTGGGAACAGCCTCGGCCTCAGAGGTTCTGTCTTGGCACTGGCTGTCATCTCAACTGCAGTGCCCACACTTACCCCAGACCTTCTTATGGCTTGCTGCATCTCATCATTCAGGTCTCAGCATAAGCCTCCCCTTGTGGCCCCCTGTCCCTGTCCCAGCCCAGCACTCTTTGTTCCTTACCTCTCCATCAGGAGTTTGAATCTTGGGGTTTCTGACACCTAAAGGCCCTTAGAAACCATAATGACAGTACCTCAGCTACTTTCACCATTTCCAGAAACTTGGCAGCTAGAGTAGAGTGACAGGTTACCTAACTAACTAAAGATCTCTAATGGTTTCTATGGAGCTGCACCTGGAAAGTGTTCCACTGGTCTTTAATTTGTTGGAATCAAGTGATCTCTTCATCAGAAGTTCTACCTGACAGGTAACAGAAGTGACCACTTATGGAGCACTGGGGAAACAAAGCATGTCAGTACAGTTTAGGGACAAAATCAACATGGAGTCACTGAGGGAAAGATAGTAATGCATTCTTGGGTAGAGAGGGCTGGGCCTGTGTCTCATTTGGCCACCAAGCATCCCTTCAACTGCTTGAGCAGAAGAACCAGTTCTAGCACATCCCAGTCACTGGCGACTGGAGAGGAGCTTTGCAGATGCTGTGCTGAGGATGGGCTGGGCCCAGACCCAGTGTCCTGGCACCTCCCTTAGTGATTATGCTGGCCTGCTGTGTGCTCATTTCCTAAACTAAACTGGGATCAGAGCCTCCACCCTGCCACTCTGGCTCCCTGGGTGTCTGAGCAGGCATGGAGAACTGTGCCGGGCCAGATGGTGAGTGAGGGTGGTGGGAGCTAGCAGTCTTTACATGTGCAGGAAACCCCTCTATCCTGACTGCTGCACCTTGGAGCTTGTTAGAAAAGCCGGCTCTGAGTCCCACCTTAGTCTTAGGGAGCCAGAATCTGCATCTGACCAGGATCCCAGAGAGGTTGAGGCACTGGTCTAGACACACCGTTGCTCAGTACTTTAGAGTTCTCTGGGTGTTCCCTGAGCCACATCCTTAGGCATGACATCAACAATGAACTCCTCTTCCCGTGGTGGTCTCTAGCACCACTACACACCTGCTACCATCCCCACTTCCTGATAGAACATTCCATGGCTCCCATGGCCTTCAAGATCATATCCAAGCTTGGACTGGCACTCTAAGCATTTAGCACGTGATCCCAAGCTTACCCACAGCCTCAGCCCTTCAGCCACTAAAGGCAACACTTATTTGTTGCCTCTGCCTTTGTCTCAGCTGCTGCTTCTACCTGGAATTCCCTTCTTTTCCCACCCTGCCCACCAAACAATGTCCTCATCCGTGACGGTCAGGCCGAAGGTCCCAAATCCTTGACATTGATCCTGGATCATCCAACAGAGGTAGGCTCCCAGAGCACCCCGTATCCTTCCATACAGCTCTCATCTCATAATCCAGACCAGGAGCAACTCAAGAAAACAAACTATCCATATTTTGACCAGTTTCTAAAACTGTACTTGGCATGGGGTAGGCACCAGAAGGTATGGGAAAGGTGAAAGGAAGGAATGAAAGAAAGCAGGTCATAGTGGTGGGTCTGGCCCAGACTGCAGCAAAGCCTACTGAGAGCATGCTGGGACGAGAACTGGCTATGGCAGAAACAGCAACGCCGTGGCACACACACGTTGTTGGCATAACACCTTAATCACTGCATTTTCTCCTTCAGCATCAGGATCCACGACACCACCCTTCCGCTTCCAGACTGTCACTGCCAGTTGGTTGGAGTTGGCACAAGATGAAGCTTGCTTGCCATCCCTGTCTAGGTGAGTCACAGTACCATCTATAACCTTATCAAGATGTGAGAGCCTACTATGGTGGTCAGGGAAGGGCTGTGGCCATATTCAGACCAACGTGGTTGTCCTTGTTGGTTGCTGTTTTTTTCAATCGAATCCTTCCAGGTAAGGGAGTTGCTATTATGATCCTCATTTGATAGAAAGGGAAACTGAGGCACAGAGGAGTCATTTTTCCCAAAATCACACAGAAAACAGGAGCTAGGATTTGAGCCCAAGATATTCTACAGGTCCATTTTGAAGGTATATATATATAAAATGGTGTTGTTGTTGTTGTTAAATACTTTTGAATTAGTTCTGACTCATAGTGACCCTGTATAGAGTTTCCAAGGAGTAGTTGGTGAGTTTGAATCGCCAACCTTGCAGTTCAAACCGACCTTGCTACAGCACCACACCAGGACTCCATATATATAATATAATACCTCCACCTGTATTCCAGTTAGAAACAATAATGAAGATCATATGATAGAATTCTGAAAGACCAGTGACCTATCCATTAGAAATAACTTTTTTAAACAACACAAAAGGAGACATTACACGTGGACCTTGCCAGATAGAATATACAAGAATTAAATCAACTATATCTGTGAAAAAAGATGATAGAGAAGCTCAATTTCATCAGAACAAAGCCGGGGGAAGACTGTGGACAGGCCATCAACTGCTCGTATGCAAGTTCAAGTGGAAGAAAAGGAAAACAAGAGCTAAAGTACAACCTTGAGTATATCACACCTAAATTTAGAGACCATCTCAAGAATAATGGGTCACACTGAATACTAATGATCAAAGACCAGATGAATATGGAATGACATCAAGAGCATCATACATGAAGAACACAATAGGTCATTAAAAGCACAGGGGAAAAAAAGACCAAAATGGATGTCAAAAGAGACTCTGAAATTTGCTCTGGAACGTAAAGTAGCTAAAGGGAACTGAAGAAATGAGTTCAGACATGAAGTAAAAGAGTTAAACACAAGATTTCAAAAGGTAGCTCTTCAAAAAGACAAGGTAAAGTATTATAATATGCACAAAGACCTGGAGTTAGAAAATGAAAAGGGATGAATATGCTTGGCATTTCTCAAGCTGAAAGAACTAAAGAAAGAAAAAAAAAAATCAAGGCTTGAGATGGACTATTGAAAGATACTATGGGCAAAATACTGACTGATGTAGGAAGCATCAAGGGACACTGTACAAAAAAGAATTGAAGATTCACGATTAACCATTTTAGGAGGCAGTATATGATCAAGAACCAATGGTGCTGAAGGTAGAAGTCCAAGCTGCACTAAAGGCATTGTGAACAACAAAGCTCAAGGAATTGCTGGAATACTAATTGAGATGTTTCAACAAATGGATACAACGCTGGAGGCACACATTCATCTATGCCAAGACATTTGGAAGACAGCTGCCAGTCCAACAGACTGGAAGAGAGCATATTTGTGCCTATTCCAAAGAGAGGTGATCCAACAGAACACGGAAATTATCAAATAATATCATTGATATCACTCCCAAACAAAATTTTGCTGAAAACAATTTAAAAATGTTTGCAGCTGTACAAATAGAAACTCAGAAATTCTAGCTAATTTAGAAGAGGCTGGAATGATGGATATCATTGCTGATATCATATGACTGAAAGTAGAAAATACCAGAAAGATGTTTACTTGTGTTTTATTGACTATACAAAGGCATTCACCTGTGTGGATCATAACAAATTATGGATAACATTGAGAAGAATAGGAATTCTAGAACACTTATTTGTGCTCATGCGGAACCTGTACATGGGCCAAGAGACAATCATTTGAATAAAACAAGGGAATACTGACTGTTTAAAATCAGGAAAGGTATCAAGATTATATCCTTTCAACATACTGACTTAATCTGTATGCTGAACAAATCCTATGAGAAGCTAGACTATATGAAGAAGAAGACAGTATATCAGAATTGGAGAAAAGCTCATTAACAAACTGATATACACTGGTGTGGCACTGTAGGCTAAAGCACTGCACCACAATTGTCAGTTTGAGCCACAAGGTCAGCTGTTTCAAACCCACCAACCTCTCCTTAGAAACCCTATACAATATCACTGTGAGTTGGAACCAGTTGGATGGTACTTAACAACAACATACACAGATGACACACATTGGCTTGCTGAAAATGATGGAGACTTGAAGTGCTGATGAAGATCAAAGACTACAAGCCTTCAGTATGGATTGCAGCTCAACATTAAAAAAAAAAAAAAAATCCCCACTCCTGGACCCATATAAGCAATACCATGTAAACGGAGAAAAGATTGAAGCTGTTAAGGATTTTATTTTATATGGATCCACGATCAATGACCATGGAAGCAGCAATGAAGAAAGCAAGTGATGTATTGCCTTGGACAAATCTGCTGCAAAAGACCTCTTTAAAGTGTTAAAAAGCAAAGATGTTACTTTGAGGAGTAAGGTATGCCTGCCACAGTTTTTAATCACCTCATATGAGTGTGAACGCTGGACAATGAATAAGGGAAACTGAAGAAGAAGTGACGTATGTGAATGACAGTGTTGGCAAAGAATATTCCGTATACCTTTGAGAAGAATGGAGTCCTGGTGTGAGGCAGTAGGATAAGTACTAGGCTGCTAACTACAAAGTTGATGATTCAAATCCACTAGCCGCTCCTCGGAAACCCTTTACGGGGTCGCTATGAATTGGAACTGATTCAATAGCACTTAACAACAACCACAACCAGAAGAATAAACAAATCTGTCTCGGAAGAAGTAGAGCCAGAAGCGAGGATGGTGAGACTCCATGTCACACACATACTTTAGACATATCTGGGAAGTTCAAGCCCTGGGAAAGGACATCATGCTTGGTAGAGTGTCAGTGACCAAAAGGAAACCCCTTTATGAGATGGGTTGACACAGTGGGTGTAACAATAGGTTCAAACACAGCAATGATTGTGAGATGGAACAGGACTGGGCAGTATTTTGTTCTGCTGTACACCGGGTCACTATGAGTCAGAACCAATTCTAAGGCACCCAACAGCAGTAACTTATTTTCCACCCTTTGCCTCTCCCACCTAGAGATGTCTTTCCTCTTCTCAACCTTCAGGTCTCTGATTTAGCAAAGCTGCCTTCAGCACAACACATGTATGCTGGAAAGATGGTGGAGCAGGTTGGTGTCTGCCCCCCACCTTGGGGTTCCCCTCCTGCTGGGGTCGTAGCCCCAAGGCCAGCCACATTCACTTATTCAGCAAAAGCAGGAAACTCAAGAAACTGCCAGCCACACGCAGGGATCCTCGCCCACCCAGCTTCCCCAACACAGGAGCAAAGGAGACACATACACGTAACCGATGATGTCAGCGTCTGGCTGCTGGTAGAAGGCTTTGTCAGCGATCCTTGAGGGAAGTTAGGGGAGGGGTTAGGTGGCAGGGGGTGGAAAGGAGACAGGAAGGCAAGATGGACAGGCAGGCAGAGGGTTAAAGAGAAAAAGAGACAGTGTTAGTACCTGCAGTGGGAGAGGTGTTGGAAATGCAGTTCTGGAAGGCTCAGGAATTATCCACAGCCCTGGCCACAGTGCCTTTTAGAAAAGTCAGCCCTGCTCCTAAATTCCCAGTGGCCCCTGCTGCCCTTGTCTCTACTCAATACCATCCCACGGGTCAAGACCCAACAATGTGTGATGTCCCCCACACAATGTGCTCTGCTGACTCTCTGTTGCTCAAGACACCAAGTCCTTTCTTTTGGTCCCTGGTCTGGAATGCACTCCTCCACGCATAACCCTTTGCCTTTTCCTGATGAGCTAGTCATCCTCCAGAGCCCACATCCCCCAGGAGGTGCCAGGGTCTAGTCATCCACGTGTTTCTCTCCTCTGACATCGCTGAGGGCACAGATTCTTCAGCTACATTTCCCCAGTGCCACCTAGGGCCTGGCACACAGCAGTTTCAGAATGGACATCCCCTTCTTGGCAAGGTTTGTATTGTGAAGGGCAGAGCCTCAAAGCCAGCATCCAGTACAAGACATCTCCAGGAAAATATTCTCTGGGGGACCTCTGCTGGGGAAGGGGACTCTCACCCAGACTGAGCCCATCAGAGAGACCCTCTGGCTATGGTCATTGGGCCTGGGATGGACCCATGATGCAAGCCATACCATTGAGGGTCAGGCCCAGGACTTAGGCTGGAGCTATCGGAAACAAGATACTATTTTCAGGGTGGACTAGAGGCTGGAGCAGAAGCATGGACTGATGCCAACTTCACTGCATACAAGGGGTGTGTATCCTAGAGTGAAGCCGACACAGGGAGAAACAAAACAGAGCAGAGTGCAAGTGAGTCCAAGTGAGTCCAGCTGCCTGTGTGAGCCCTGACCCCGCTGCCCCTGCAGTCCCGCCCCGACCTTTCACTTATGTGGCCCAATGATGCTCTCTTAACCTTTCACCACACTGCATTAAAGTGGTGTCATTTTTACCAGCAGCAAACACCTGTAGCAGACTGGGTCCTCCCACCCTAGCCAGGCCTCTGCTGTCTCTGAGCTGTTGGTTGCTGGGCCCCAGACACTCAGCATCATACTCTGGGGCCCTGGCACCTTCCTGCTGACAGACAAACCCTGCTCTCTCAGTTGTGGAGAGGAGGTGAAGGCTCAACAGCAAGTCAGCTCCAAAGGGCTCCGAACCGCACAGGTAACTCCAGAAGCAGCCTGGGAAGTTTCAGCTCCTTTCAGGCTCTTAGCCCCGAGTCACCCATCTTCCAGATAGTCCCCCACTCCACAGCTCCTCTCATTGCTCCTATACCTCTTCTCACTGTCCCCATGTGGTGTTATTGTTCATAAGTGCCGTTGAGTCGGTTCCGACTCATAGCGACCCTGTATAGGGTTTCCAAGGCTGTAAATCCTTATGGGAGCAGAAAACCTCATCTTTCTCCCATGGAAGCGCTGGTAGTTTTGAACTGCTGACCTTGAGATTAGCAGCCCAATTCGTAACCACTACGCTACCAGAGCTCCTTAGTGCCACACTGTTTTTGTTAAGTTCCGACCCATAGCAACCCTGCATAGGGTTTCCAAGGAGCAAATGGTGAGCTTGAACCACTAACCTTGTAGTTCAAATGGCTTTGCAGTCTGGTGCATTAACCCACAGCACCACACCAGGACTCTATAGAGCCACACTAGTATCCATAAAATAAAACAACAACAGAAAAGCCTACTGCCATTGAGTCAATTCTGACTCATAGCAACCCTATATGCAGGAGCAGAGCTTTTCCTGAGGGTTTCCAAGGCTGTGAGTCCTTACGGGAGCAGACAGCCTCAGCTTTCTCCTGCTGAGCAGCTGGTAGGTTTGAACCACTGGACTTGCGGTTAGTAGCTCAACACCTAACCCACTTCACTACCAGAGCTCCTTCTTGGCCCCATGACCCCTCTCATGCCCTGATGGTCCCTCTCACGTCCCCACTGTTTTTGTTGTTAAGTGCCATTGAGTTAATGCCAACTCGGAGCGACCCTGTGAAGGGTTTCCAAGGAGCAGCTGGTGAGTTTGAATGGCTGTTCTTTGCGATTCAGATGGACCATGAGGTCCAGTGTTTATTTTACAGCACCACACTAGGACTCCAGAGCCCCTCTAAATGTCCCCGTGACTCCTTTCAGGTCCCCATGGCCCATCTCATATCCCCGTGGTCCCTCTCACCGATTGTTAATCTTGTTCTTCTCTACTTGCTCGCTCTGACGCTGGTTCCACTCCTCCAGGTCCTTTTTAGCCTTCTCGCGCCATTCCTGTTCTGTCACCTTAGAGGCAGCATCTGCAGCCACAGCAGGAGAGTGAGCGGCAGTTTTACAGGATTGAAGGTTGGTTCTCATGGCTGTCCCACCCCTTGGCTACTACAGGCAGCCTTGGCTGTCCTCACCCAGCCATAACACCCACACCCTCCTGGCTCCAGCCTCAACCCTTCCTCACCCAGCTCCTGCAGCCGTTTCTTCTGCTCCTCTCTCCATTTGCGGATACTCTCGGGTTCCTGTGTCAGCCTGTCAGCTTGGGCAATTGCAGCATAGCCGTCCGCTGGCCCATTGGCCTCCTGGGATACAAACACACAGCTAGTACCAGAGCCCCTCAGACCTGCCAGCTGTCTCTGCCGCCCCCTGCTGAGAATCCCATCACCTTTCTCCAATCTGGAACCTTAAACAACTCTCACAAGCTCACCCACTGTGTCCTGTGATCCTGCCTGTGCACTTAACTGTTTCCTCTACCTGTGTGACCCTGGACAAGTTACTCAGCCTCTCTGTGCTTCACTTTCCTCATCATAAAATGGCATCAATAATGGAGTCCTGTCATGGTACTGTAGGGTAAGCACTGGACACAAGGTAGGCAGTTCAAACCCACCAGTTGTTCCTTGGAAATCTTGTATGGTGTTACTATGAGTCAGACCAGACTCGACAGCACTTAACAACAAACAATCCAATGCCAACACTATGGAGTTGTTGTTAGGTGTCGTCGAGTCAGTTCCGACTCTTACTAACCCTGTATAGGGTTTTCAAGGAGTGGCTGGTGAGTTTGAACTGCTGAACTTAACTTGTGGTTCAAACTGATATTGCAGTCAAGTGCTTATCCTCCATTGCCACACCAGGACTCCTGGCTTAGGATTGTTGTTGTTGTTAAGTGCCGTGGAGACGGTTCCGACCCATAGCGACCCTGTGCAGGGTTTCCGAGGCTGTAAATCTTTATGGGAGCAGAAAGCCTCATCTTTCTCCCACGGAGCAGCTGGTAGTTTCGAACTGCTGACCTTGCAGTTTGCAGCCTGATTTGTAACCACTACGCTATCAGAGCTTAAAGGAGTCCAAATAAAGACTTAAGCACACTTCTTGGCATACAGTGAGTCCTGTGTTACTACCATTAAAGTCACTCCCTGTATTACAGTTCTATTTACTCTGTGACAGTTAGCTCTGAAATGATCACACTGTAAATGTGTTTATTGTCCATTGTCTATGGCTGTAACGGGGAAGGGTCTGTGTCAACTCAACTAGGCCAAGAGTTCCAGAGGGTTAGCAGCTGGGATATGCTTGTTCCCGTGGTGATGAAACCCAATACAGGCATAATTAACTCTGGTGAGTGGCAATGAGCAGCCAATCAAACGGACGCTTCCTTGTGGGTGTGGTCTGCTCCCAATATAATGGACATGTGGGAGGGAGGCTCACTGTCTTCTGCTGGGGACCTAGGACTCTACAATTATAAGATAATAAACTTCTCTTTATATCTATACATATATATGTTTCACTGGTTTTGCTTCTGTAGAAAACCCAGCCTCAGACAATGCCCATTCTCTGTGTCTCCCTCTATCAGAATGTCCCTTTCATGGCAGCAACGACCTTGTCTGTCCTGTTCACTGCTGCCTCCCCAGTAGCTGGTTCCCAACAGATGCTCAATGAGTATATGCTGCATGAATGGAAAAGCAGCCCTGAGCCAGACAGCGGGCCCCAGCTGTGACCATGTAGTGGGAAAGAGGCTAGGTTTGGCAGTTAGCCTGCCTGGGTTCTGCCCCAGCTCTGCCACGATTAGATGTGTGTGTGTGTGTGTGTGTGTGTGTGTTGTTTAACCTTGCTGCACCTCTATTTTCTCAACTGAAAATGAAGATGATAATGAAACCTGGTGTGGTGCTGTAGGATAAGCACTGGATTCCTAACCACTAGGTGGTTGTGGTGGTGATGGTGTGCCTTGGAGTCGGTTCTGACTCATAGAGACCCTGTACAGTGTTTCTGAGGCTGTAAATCTTTACAGGAGCAGAAAGCTTCATCTTTCTCTCGGGGAACAGTTGGTAGTTTCAAACTGCTGACCTTGCGGTTCACAGCCCAATTCGTAACCACAAGGCTACTAGAATACCTTTAACCATTAGGTAGGTAGTTAAAAACCACCAGCTGCTCCTTAGAAACCCTACACAGGGTCACTATGAATCGGAACCAATGTAATGACACTTAGCAACAACAACAACATCTCTAAGAGCCAGTGTGAGGGTTGTGTGCATGTGGTAAATATATATATGACAACCACAACATGAATGGACCTTGAAAACAACATGCTGAGTGAAATAAGTCGGTCCCCAAAAGGACAAACACTGTGTGATCTCACATACATAAAATAAACAAATATATAAAACCCAGAAATCACTAGTGGTTACCAGGGCTAGGAGGAAGTAAGAGAAGGGAGGTGTTTGTTTAGGAGACACTGAGTTTACATTAAGAGTGGTGGAATGATTTGGAAAAGGATAGTGAGAATGGTTGTACCACCTGAAGAATGTTATCAGTTTCACAAAGTGCATCTGTAGAAACTGTTGAGTTAGAATATATCGTCACCACAATTAAGACAACAAAGACCCACCCACCAGTGTAACAAATACATACATTTGGCATCTCAACTATCTTCACATCTAAGTTTAGTGACATTAATTATGTTCATCATGTTCAACCGTCACCCTTATCATTCCCAAACTTCCCCACCACGTTGTGAGGATTTGATAAAGTAATATTTGTAAAACATTTAAAAGAGGGTCTGGTAATGAATGGTAGCTAAAATTATTCCTATTATTATTCATTTCCATTTTGCAAGGGAGGAAACTGAGGCCAGAATTTATGTATTTGCAGAGCCAGGGTCAGAAGCCAGGCCTTCGGAATCCTGGGTTCAGGCTCTGCCCACTTCTCCACACTGCCTGCCAGGCACCCCTTTGACTTCACCCCTTCATGAGACTCTTCAAGGTCCGGCCCCATGCTCTGACTCTGGGCCTCTGGGCCTCTGGGCCTCTGAGCTCCAGCACATTCCTGTGGGCACACATCCCCCACACTCCTCTACAGCCACACCTTTGTTTCCTCCCTTCCCTTCGTTAGCTGGTGAAATTATATTCCATCCCAGGAATTTTCAGCTCAAAATGTCCCCACCTCTGTTATACTTCCCAACACTCCTAACAGCTCTTCTGCCCTTCCTGTGTGCGCCCTTCCACGGAGAAGTCCAATAGCTCAAAAAGACAGCTGCCATGGAGTCATTGTGACTCAGGGCACTTCTGTGTGGGTCGTAGTAGAACTGTGCTCCGTAGGGTTTTCAATGACTGGTTTCTTGATAGTAAATCACCAGCGCTTTCTGCCAAACTACCCCTGAGTGGACTCGAACCTCTGACCTTCCAGTTAGTGACCAAGTACCAAGCAGGGGCTCTTTGGAAATGATATATGGAGTGCATTAGCGTAGAAATGGACTCGAAGGCACTTAACACCAACAGCAACAGTAGGCAGGGCAGGATGCTGTTTATAGTTCCTGTAGTGCCTACTCCATGTTTTCATTGCTCCCTGCCATCTTCAAGCACTTATCAAAGTTGCCACAATTAACAGTAGCACAGGAAATTGTCTGATATGCCTGGTTCAGAATTGATTCTCGGCCCAGAGGGAGCTCACATATGAAACATCAGGAGTATAGTCTCCAGCTCTCTGAAGTGGGGAGAGAGGGGGCCTTGGAGCAGGGCGATGCAGCCTGGCACCTTGGAACAGGCCCCCACCCTTGTGGGTGAGTCAAAGCATTTACTGTTTTGTTTCCCCAAACTTTATCACACTTCAAGTTAGAGGTTCTCTCAGGGCATCCTAAGAGGCCTTTGCCAGTGCCATTATCTGGTGAGCACAAGTGATCAGCACCTAAGTGGGTGCTCCATAGGGTAAGGCAAACAGAGGAATGGCTTTAGAGACTCAAGGACCACCATCTGTGCCCATGGATTCAGGGGCAGGGGGTGGCTGCTATGACCTTCTCCAAGGGACCAAACCATCCAAGGCTGGAGGAACACACTTGGGGGCACTGAAGCAGAAACCCACCAGCTGGCCCAGGCCTGGGGCTCATTCCTGTCTTTGGGAGAATCTTTCAGCTCCACGGGACGTCAGGGACCAGGATCCTTGATACTGTAGTCTGTGTTTCAGCTCTGCGCTCCAGTGTCATGTTTAACAAGAGTGACTGAAAATCTTTTCCCAAGAGGGCTGTTACTCTGGGTGGGGATACCCACATTCCTTTCCTGACTCCTGGATCTAAAAATCCAGTGTCAAGCCACGCCCAATACTAATTAAATCCAAAACTATAGGGGTGGGACCCAAGTAGCAGTAATTTTTAAAGTTTCCCTGGGGAATCCAACAAGCAGCTGACAGTGGGAACCCCTGGTGTAAAGGCAAACTCAGCAGACATATAATGTGTGGAAAGACACAAAGAGCATTTATATGACTTCCAAGGACAGGCACAACTAAACTACAGAGATCAAAATAGAGGTGAATGGCTGGAAGGGGCCCAGAGAGATGGAAATGTTCAATCTTTTCAGCTAGGTAATAGTTACACAGGAATGTAAACTAGCTACTGTCAAGTCCGTTGCTACTCACAGCGACCCCATGTGGTCAGAGTAGAACTGGGCTCCATAGACTTTTCAGTGGCTGATTTTTCAGAAGTATAAATCACTAAATCTTTCTTCTGAGACACCTCTAGAAGGACCTGAATCTCCAACCTTTTGTTAGTGACTGAGCATTTTAACCATTTGCACTATCCAGAGGTTCTCACACAGGAATAAACATACATAAAATCAATCTGCACACTTAAAAAAAAAGTATATCTTTTACTGTATGCAAATTATAGCTACATTTTTTCAAAAGGGAAAAAGTGTGATTTTTAAAGTTGGTGAGAAAAAAAAGTAATAAGCAGGTAGAGTCTGACTACAAAAAGATATCCAACCTAATGAATCTAGACCTGACTAGAATTATTCAGGAAAGTGGTCCCAAATCTAATGTCCCAGTCGTGAATCTGCTATTTTAACCCAAAATTATTAACTTCAATTGTTTGGATAAGAACACTCATAACTTCCTGAAATATAAGTAAGGATCTAGCGTTAAGTGCAATCAAGTCCAGTGAGTCAGTTCCCACTCAGCCGACCTTATATATAACAATGAAGCACTACCCAGGGCTACCATCTCCTCACAAGTGTTGGTATGTTCGAGCTCACTGGTGTAGCCTATCAACCTGCACTGTGTCAGTCTAGCTCACTGAGAGTTTCCCTTGTATTCAGTAACCCACTAC